AAACTTTTTACAGAATGATTCGATAATGAGTCTCTTACAGGCGTAAATACCTCTGTAATCCAATTCGCAATTTTATGATATAGAGAATTCGACATGTCTAAGATGGGTCTCAGTGGGTCCCCAGTTTCGTGGATCTTTGGAAGGCCATACTCTTAATTTAAGTATTTTTCATACATCACGTGATGATTTCATTAATAATATTCTTTATCCTGTATACATATTAGCGTTGTTGAAAGCATAATACGATTAGCATTATGGTGAACTGGATAATGCGGAAGACTGTCCGTGGGGAACGAGAAGATACGAATGCATTGGACCACCAATATGAAGACTCTACCTAGAAGATCTGCACCTCACGATGATTTATATCGAATGTAACACAAACTCGAAGACTTATAGGTGGAAACCAACAAACTGGGAGAAGGGACTAGCAGGCATTGAAGATAGGACTCCAGGTGAACATAGAAAAGACAGAGATGATGAAGATAACTAACAAACCAATCATCACCATCACTAACAGCAACAAGCGCCGACCACTATCAACAGGAGAAATGCGGATGAGGTTACTTCCATCACTTATCTAGGTAGAATCATTGCAACTACAGGCTGAGGTATGGTTGACGATATCAAAATCAGCCACAATTGGAAAGACAAGGCAAACCTTCATTACTATAAAGTCAGTGTGGAACTCTACGAAACTCCACAGCATAGGTCAGAAACTTGGCATGAAAAGCATTTCTAACAGACAAATGCAGACTTTTATCAACAGCTGCTTTCGCCAGCTCCATATTAAAGACCAAATGGACGTCCACAAAGAATTAAAAACAAAATAGTGGGAGAAAACCAGTCGAGAACCTATTGCTCAACAGATATGGCGAAGAAAACGGAGATGAATCGCACACACACGCTAAGGAAACCTCCCTGGTGATGTCACATGCCAGGCAATCGCATCGCCCAAGTGGAAGATGAATGTGGCAACGACGAGTCTGTTGTTGGTCCTAGGGTGAATATAGAGGAGATCGTGTGAGTTGGAGGAGATGAGGGATTATAGGAAATCGTGGGACCAGCTGATGAAGAAGACTGCGGAGAAGAGGACGAAATGGAGTTGTGCTGTTGAAGTCGTATGTTCCACTCGGAACCCAAGGGAACAATAATAAGTAGTAATAATAATAAACATTGTAAGGAGAATTTAAGAAATAGCTTAAGCTATTCACTGTGTACTTTTCTTATTATTGTTCCCTTCGGTTCTGAGTGGAGCATAGGGCTTCAACAACACATCTCTGTTTTGTTATTTTTTCCGCTGTCCTCTTTGATTGGGCCCAAAAATTCTGTATTAGACAGTATATTTTTTAAAATACTGATTAAATTTAAGGGTGATTATTATTATTTTATTGTTTCCTTTAATTCCTAGAGGGGAATAGAGCTTCAGGGAAACGTCTCCATAGCGTTTGGTTCTCTGCAAACGTTTTCACATGGCTCCACGTCTGCCCACATGCTCTCATCTCCTCTCCACATTACCTACTCCATGTCACCCCACCCCCGGACGACCAGCTCGCCGCTTCCCGTTCGGGTTCTACTCGAAATGGCCTGGCGTGTGATGTCGCTTGGTAATTTTCTCAGCATACGGCCAGCCAATCCACCTCCATTTTTTCCTGAATGTTTGTTGCACAGTCGGTTCCTGCTGGGTTGGTTCGCTCATTGACAGAGATCCCTCACTATTGCTGATCTTTTCTGGCCAGCCATATGATCTTGAGAATTATTGAGCGAAGACAGCTGTTGATGAAGGTCTGCAGTTTGTTCGAAGTGCCCTACCTGACGCACTGGTCAATATATAGTTTTATTGGATACTATAAATCACAAGGACTGGATGCATCTGCGCCAAAGATGATTTTGAGCCATATCACCAATTGTCTCCAGCTTTCATTGGTTTTTACCGTCCCGAGGAGCGATAGCCAGGCATGCGTGGGTAACACATGTCCTAACTATCTCAATCGATGTAACTTCACAGAGATGGAAAAGGCATCGGCAACAGGTAACACCAGACAACTATTTAAGGCTATCACGGAAACAGGTGGCAAAAGATAAGTGAAACAATCTCTGAGAAAAATGGTAACATAATTAGCTCCCAGGGAGACGACTGGAGCGTCGTTTGAGAGAACACTTTGAGGAGCAATTTAACTGGCCTACAGATACACTCAACCTACTGAGCATCCAACACCTCCCTGAATGGGATACAATCACCGGTCCTCCATCCCTATCTGAGGTTACTAAGGCTGTCACTAATCCGAAACGAGCAAAGCAGCAGGACTCGATGGAATGACTCCAGAGGTATTTAAATACGGTGGAGACAGTTTACTGTCTGAGTTAACTGAATTGCTAGGAAGCGTCTGGGAATCAGAGGAAGTCCCATCGGGTTAGTGTAAGTCACTGATTATCCCCATATACAAGAAGGGAGACAAGTCTTCCTGTGATAATCACAGGCGGATTAGCTTGACCAATATGGTCTTTTAAGTTCTAGGCTCAATAATCATGCGTAGACTAAATGGTGCTCGGGAGGCACAAACACGAGAGAACTAGACAGGTTTTAGTCCAGGAAGAGGGTGTATTGATCATATCTTCACCCTTAGACAGATTCTGGAACGTAGGCATACTTACCGTCGGCGTCCAACAATCGTTATATTTCTTGACCTAAAGGCAGCATTCGATTCTTTCGGTCGAGAGGTACTCTGGCGATTTTTGGCTGTGAAGGGAATCATTGCAATGTACTCGAATTCATGCAGCCAGCCAGGTGAGAGCTTACGGCGAGTTATCATCTGAACTGGTGACAACTAATGGTGTTCGACAGGGATGCCCACTATCCCTATTTCTATTGTTTTTCTAGACAACATATTCAGTGCTGACCTCAAATATATAAATTTTTCAGTGTATATGCTTTTACAAGATAGACTGAATGAAGAGTTCACAGTTATGTAGACAACACATTTGTACAAAATTCCACATTGACGATTCAGTTCAGCGACATGAAAGAGAATTTCAGTACACGTCTGATAGTCAGATATCATGAATCGCTGACTATACACACACACACACACACACACGAAGTCATTTCAACTGTTTTATTTTAGCAAAACAATAATGAGAACGGAGAAAAAGAGACGAATATACGACAAGTGGGGTCAGTCCACCGGACAGTCGGGTTTCAGGACAAATACTCCTCGATAACATTGGTTGACAGTGGCGCTAAAAAACCGTGAATTAATAGAAGTTAGAATTCATGGGCCACTTCATGGGAGGATTCCGATGATCGCAGCAGCTGAATAGTCAACGAGTTCATGTTTCTAACCTGAAGGTTTCGGGTTCAGTTGCTGGTGGGTAGCATATGGTTTGTTCCTGTCAAATGTAGGATGATACTAAAAGACTGGAGTACATTGACTCCTAGCTTGGAGATATGCAATCAAGTGGTAGAGCATGTTGACTACTTCACTTATTTGGGAACTTGTAACACCCTCAACGGACTGATTTTTGACGACAACTCAGCCCGGATAGAAAAAAGGCTCATGTGGTATTTGCCAACCTGCATCATCTCTGGAATAGACGTGATATCCGGCTGACTCTCGACCAAACGACGTGTGTACTGCTCAGAGCAGTTTGCTGCTTTGTGGCTGTGAGTGCGACATGGCCATTGATGGTGGAAGGCATAAAAAGGCAGACTGTCTATCTTTGGTCACATATGCCTGCGTTCTATTTCCTATGTTAGGTGGTATAATCAAGGAAGTAATATCGAAGTAAGGAGTCCACTTTGAGATAAACAGGGAAAGGCAATCAATGAGGTTATGAAACTGTATGCCAAGTCACTGCCTTCCACGAAGGGGAATGTAAGCTGACGTAGGATAGAAGAGGTTGCAAAAAAACATGGCTTCATCAGTCAAGAGAATCTTTAACATTTAGTTTGAACCAGCTACTTAGGGAAGTGTAGACCGCTTGACTGGTTGGAGTCCTCGGGATTCTAAGGACCAATTGCTTTAAACTACTGGTGATATGGCTCGAGATCGTTCTCAATGGTGCAGATGAACCCATATCCAATGGGGCCCTATCGTTTTATTCATGGCACTATCCTTTTTCACTAACATTTTTGCTTATTATTATTATTGTTTCCAAGTATTGGTTTTTGTAGGGATTCAGTTTCATTGGTTAGAGGACTTCATCATGAGATTACATCAGAAAACCTGCAGGGAGTGCTGCATAGCTGGCTGCTTCACCAGCCTAGTTCAGCAGTACGCACCCACCGTCAGGGTTCGAACCCACGACCTTCTGGTAACAAGGCTAGTGAGGAGCTCGTAGACCATTAAGCCATTGAGACCCGATCCAATGGCCAGCACATGAATTCTAACTTCTATCAATCAATTCATGACATAGTGCGACCACTTCCCAACGTCTTCTCCGATGAGTTACTGCCTCACCTTCAACCTGCTGCACCCTATTCGTCACGGTTTCCCACTAGAAGCCCAGGTTAACTGCCTTAACAAGGCCAGTCGCTAGTGAGCATCAGATGAATTTTCAAGTATTGGTTTTTGTAGGGATTCAGTTTGATTGGTTGGAGGATTTCATCATGAGCTGGCATCAGTCTACGAGCTCGCCTTGTAACCAGAAGGTTTTGGCCTCGAACCTCGTGTGGTGGGTGAGTACTGCTGAAACGTCCCAAACCGGGACGAAACAGTTGTCCATTACTCCTATATTATTATTATTATTCCGAATCATTTCCTTTGTATGCTTGCTTCACAGAGTGTGGCAATTTGAAAACTGGTGCATTTCTGTCAGTTAACTCTGGTGGATGGTTTTATGGGTACCTACTGCTGAAGAGAGCTTCAAACTAAAACGATACAGCTGTCCAAGACTCACCGGTTCGTTTTCAATGACAGTCCTGTCTAAATGATATCACAATCCGTGATCAAACTTAAAACACACACACGCACACAAGCACAAACAATACGCTTTACGACATTTTTATCATCTGTTATTCTCCCAAGGCATATATATGCATGTCAGCAAAAAGAGACAATGTAGAGAGAGATCAATGATACAATGTACAGATATATTATCACTTCAGGTCACACACAAACACACGCACACACACACCCAGACGCACAAACAAACACACACAGACAGAGAGAGAGACAGACAGGCAAACAAAACGCATACACGCATACAATAAAATAGGTGTATCACGATTACTACTAGTGAGAGGCTACAATGGAATCAGAGAGAACAACACGCATACACACACACACACAAACAAACGCACCAAAGAAGACATGTGCATAAGATAACAACACTCACAGTAATGATGATGATGTTGACGATGATGATGATTAGGTAACAAGTGACAATAATCATCTCAAGAAAAAGAAAAATCAATATTAATAATAATGATAATAATAATAAAGAGATAAAACTCCTAGTGTGGAGTTATCACATAGATTACGTAATATTACCACTAATAATATTGCTACAAAGTAGAAGTAATAATAAGGAAAAGAATAAAGTGAGAATGTGTGGTGAAAACATTGTGAAACTAGCGAAAAAAATAATGATAACTAACCTGAGGTGGGGGTAAAGAAGAAGAGATTTGTGTGATATATATTAAGAAAAAGGAACTGGGAGGTGGGGCGGTGTGGGACTGAGACGGAAATAAACATGTATGACACTGGGAAGAACAAGTGTGGGGAGGAGAGAGAGGGATGGAGGGGGTCGTGAGAAATGAGAATAATAATGATAACTGCAGAGCCATAAGTTATATGAAATAATAATAATGAATCATATAACAATAAACAGAACATTGAAAGTAAGTCATTACGTAATAAGAAATAGAGAAATATGATCAAATGAAAAACAAAGACAGAAAAAAAAATGAAATAAGTTAAAATAAAATGAAAAAGGACCATCAGTTCAACATCAACACGATGGAATTCACACACACAGTGTATACTACTTATTTCATTAAAGCTTTGACAACAGCATTCACGGATAATTGACGTAGATCTGAATAGGTTTGACCAGTACCAACAAATACAATTGGTTGATTTGAAATACACGCCATAGAAATAGCAGCGCCAACCTAGTCATCACGAAAAAGAAACGAGAGAGAGAGAGAGAAAGGAATATTATATAAGCCTATAATTATTAAAATTTATTTTATTATAGCTTAATTCCACACAGTGTTTTCGGTACAAGTATGGAATTCTCAGCATGTGATATCGGTAGCCCAAATTTAGCAGGCCGACCATTGACACCAGATGTACGTCGGCCAGGGATCGAACCCCGGACAATGCACATGGTCGGTGAGCGTCCTAACCGCTGTGCCACCGACGCACTCCGTGTGGGTAAGATTAAAGTGGTGGTGGTGGTGTTGGGGGATCTGGCTAACAGTTGAGTTTAGTAGATAGGATGACCCAGGGATTAGTAAAGTCAGAGACTGATCCATCAGGAGAGAAGGCTCTCAAGTGGTTAGAGCCACAGGATCGGTCGGTCGGTCGGTTTTCGACATAGAACTTTGCACATATGTGCCGCAGTTCAAGTCGCCACACTCCATGTAGCACATAAGCAAGAGAAGAAAGTAGAAGAAATGCATAATATAGACAGTAAACAGAGGTGTGAGACAAAGGAATAGTAATAACGAAGAACAAAACAGTTTCATTGGACATCATAAGTCACAATGAGTGGATGCATCTGCGCTAGCCATTGAGGACGATTTTGAGCCATGTCACCAATTGTTTCCAACCATTGGTTTTTACCGTCCCGAGGACCCCAACCAGTCAGGAAGTCTACACCTTCCTACGTGGCTGGCTTAGACTAACTGTTGTAGATTACATTGACTGGTGCCATGTTCTCGTTTGACCGCCGCTAGCTCTTTTCCAGTCTGGCCCTATATCAGCTAACATTGCCCATTGTCGAGGAAGGCGATGACTACGCATACGTAACACATGTCCTAACCATCTCAGTCGATGTAATTTCACAGTCTCGTCGATTGATTTTCCCGCCTTACCTAGCACTCGACGCCTAACCTCAATATTGCTCACCTTATTAAACCACTTCACGCGGGAGATAGAACGCAGACACCTATGATCGAACACAGCTAATCTTTTCATGTCTTCCACTCTCAGTGGCCAGGTGTCACAGCCATAAAGGAGGACGGAGCGAACTGATGAGCAGTACACACGCCCTTTTGTCGATAGTCGGATATCACGTCTACGCCAGAGACGGCGTAAACTGGCATATGCGAGCCACAGGATGACAGAGCATGTTGTTTTGGTCTTGTAAGAGAGACTGGAGCGAGTATGTTGAGTTGTCGTGAAAACCAGTGTGTTGTAATTACTTAGTCGATGGGTGTATCGGCGAACTGAGCTTAAATCAATGAACAACCAAAATTCCCATTCATCCAAAATGTTTAAACTGCTTTGCATTTCTAATCCTTTTAATCATGCAATTATAACAGATGACGAATACACGAACTCGTGGGCACATTTATTTTTTTTTATTTTGATTTACAGCTTGATTCCACACCGTATTTTCAGTACAAGTGTGGAATTTTCAGCATGGATATCGGTAGCCTAAATTCAGACCGACCATAGATATCGGGTGTGCGCCGGCAGGGGATCGAACCCCGAACCATGTGCATGGTCGGCGAGAGTTAGTTTCCCAATAAACGATGTGCAATTCTCGAAGGAAATGTAGGAAAAAAATATACAGAATTGGTTCTCTCTTCATATGCAAGGAAATGTTGTGGAACTAAATACGTTAGAAATTTCTGTACTATGGGTTTACATACTGTCTGCAATAAAGCTTTATTGATTGGACACTAGTAACTACTGTGATGTGCCTAGTCTTTGATTTTTGGTGTAGACTGAATTCTATCAGTCAGGTTTGCACTGTGGCCATCATGCCAATAGGTAGCTCACCATCACGGTGAACATTCCTTTGATGACATTAGTTAGTTGGAGGCAATCGGCCACAGGAAGCCTTGACTGCACCTAGGTTTCGTGCTAGTTGGCACTCATCAGTCAGTCAGCAAGGCGTATCTGCAACCTTGAAGGAACTCATGTCCCTTCTAAGATTCGAATCATCCATGTCATCCAGTGCTGCAGTCAGAGACGTTAACACTGAGGAGATATTCGGGCTCGCGACTGCCCTTTTTGTAGGACTGTATCGAATACTTTGATTGGAGTTCCTTCAACGTTGCAAATACGCCTTGGAGACGAGTGACAACTAGCACGGACCTAGGTGCAGCCAAGGTTTCCTGCCGATTGCCTCCAACCACCTAATGAAGCTTCATTATTATTAATGTGAATTGCGTTCATATACGGCCTAGTACAACCAAGGGTTGGTAGACTTTGGTCTTCTTCGAGAAATGATCTCATGTGACTGCGTGTTCATAGCCTCTAACTAGATAGGTTTTATTCACTATCTTCACCAGATAGGGATCATCCCAACAAAAGTGAAAGAGCGAATGCGAAAGTCTGATGCTTACGATCGAACTCGTAGATATTTTGGTCTACACCTAAGGGAGCTGGGAAGTCATAATTTCAAATCTATGAGTTCCAGAATCCAAATGGAACGAATGTCGAATGAACCTGTTTTGGGCACCATCGACCATAGGAAAGTAGCTCCTAACTCTGCCCCACTACCTTATGGGTCAGACTTCAAGTCAAATTATCGGGGTGTGTGTGGGTGGCCCCCTTAAGAAAACCATCTACTAAGGCGTTTAGGGATCCGGGTAGTATTTCAACCCTAGCATAAACTGTAAGATGTTCTGCGGAGCATCTCTAGATGCCCATAATGTACCAACCGAGTTTTTTCTTAATAAATAATAAAATCACAGACTGACTACATTTAAAGAAAGAAAGGGGAAACAGTACTAAACACACAGGCGCGCACACACATGTTAACACTATTTACGAATCAACTCACCTTATCATCAATTGTATCAAATTTAGTCAAGACAATGCCATCAATTGTTCTTGGACGATCAGAATAACTGTGGTCAGCTAGTGCTTGATTAAATTTAACCAACTGGTCAACTGCTTCATTACCAACCAATGCTTCACCGACAAATAATACAAGATCTGGTTGATTGAGTTGAATAAGCTGAGGGTGATTCGGGGGGAGGGAGGAGAAGGGAACAAACGAAAAACAAACAAAGAAACGATAACAAAAATGAAATGATTGATCAGAAAACAGTAAATTATACACTTAAATGTTGAATTTATGTTGTTTATAATCTGGGTTACAAGTGCATCAGTGATTCAATAGCAGAAGGTGTGATAGCCCCATATACAGAGGGTAAATTTCGATTCTCTGTGAAACAGAATCTTTAAATCCCCATCTGGTTTACTGGCTCGTAGAAAGTTTTGAAAAACAGGGAAGATTGGACATGAGATGGAAAATCTCACTTCGTGTGTAGACTGACTGACTGGCTGGTTTCAACAAAGAACTTGGCACAGACGTGCAGCAGTTCAAGGTGCCACACTCCCTCCATGTAGCACACACAGCAAGAGAAGAGATTAAAGAGAAATGCAATAAAGAGATAATAAACAGAAGTGTGAGTGAGGCAAAAAGAATAGTAATATGGAAGAACAATAGAGTTTTATTGGATAACGACAAATCACAAAGAGTGATGAATGCATCTGCGTCAGCCATTGACCACCAATCGCCTCCAGCCCTCAATGCTTCTTACCATCCGGAGGACACCAACCAATCAGGAAGTCTACACCTACCTCCCTAAGTGGCTGCCTTAAACTAGGTATTATGCATTTCATTGACTGATGAAGTTATGTTTTCGTTTGACCACCACTAGCTAACACTTTTCCAACCTCATCGATCCTATGTCAACTCCGTGTGTAGAAACAACGCTAGTGCTACTGAAACTTCAAACTTCTACTTGGAACACAAAAGAATGAAGAAAAAATCTGAATAGATTCACCTGAATCCACTAGCAGAAGCCGAATTGTTAATTGAGACGATGCGTTACACAACAACGGTTTCATACATGCTATTGTAGTTAGCAACCAACCAAAACCAAACCCTTGTTCCGTAAGAGCTGATAATACTTACTAGAGTCAGTTAGCTAAACCTGAATAGATGAATTCAGATTATAAATGTCCAATCTACCGGTGAAAGAATAAATTGTACAATTGATTTCAAATTTATTATTATTTATTATTGTTTCCTTTAGTTCCTAGAGGAACATAGGACTTCAGCCAAACGTCTCCATTGCGTTCGGTTCTCTGCCAACCTTTTCACCTGGCTCCACGTCACCCCGCATGCTTTCATCTCCTCTTCATATCACCTCCTCCAAGTCACCCCACCTCGCCGCTTCCTAATCGGGTTCCATTCGAGCGATGGCCTGTCATGTGACGTCACTTGATGGTTTCCTCAGAGTATGGCCAATCCACCTCCATTTCTCCCTACATATTTGTTGCACAATTGCTTCCTGCTGGGTTGGTTCGCTCCCAGAGATCCCTGTTGTTGATCTTTTCTGGCCATCTGATCCTGAGTATTGAGCGAAGACAACTGTTGATGAAGGCGTGTAGTTTGTCCGAAGTGCCCTTTAAGATGCGGCGCGGCACCAAGTCTCTGATCCGTATAGTAAGTAGCACTGACTTCACAATGGAGTTGAAAATCCGAATCTTATCTTTGTTTTCATGCTGAGTGCTGTTCATCTCCCCCACACAGACTTGAGAGTAATGAAAGCTTTCCTTGCTTTCCCGATCCTCGCTGCTCTGATATCCTCGTAAAAAATACACACAATTTCAACATGCTTAAGTTCAATTCAACCTATCATCACAATGGATGGTATACAGCGAGATGGTGTAAAACACAAAGTACTTTATGTTTGTATGCACTGCTGTGTAATTAAAACTGAATAAAATGATCAGTCTAACTCTCATTAAACTACACTGATCCATGTTATGGAATGATAGTTGTCAATGGACGTAAACATTGAACGTTTGTTTATTGGAACTGCCAGTCATTGGTGGGCAACTCGAAGGCGCGAATGGTTCGATCGCGTGCAAGTTGGAAGAAGGCGGAAAGGAACACGAATAAAAGTACTTTATAACTTCATTTGTACTAAACATTTGTTTGTAGACTTTGTATTTTGTCTTGCTTTAATTGCCAAACAATATAAATTCGTTCAAGGAATACTGGTGTTTTGGATTTAAAGTTGAAACAAATACATAGTCTTTATCGGTTCAAAGCGTCTTCGTTACAATAGGAACTTAGGGCTAAGTTCCTTGACAGTAGTGGTGGCGTTTGAGTGGTATTTAACACGTCTTATGCTAACAACTTACTAGTAAAAAACAATCACTGGCAATTCCATACAGTCGACAATGAACCATACCTATTGTGTGTGTGTGTGTGAGGTTGATGGTACCACGCAGTAGTTACTAAGGCTGTGAAGAGGTAAGTGAAGCACTGAGATTAGAATATAGGACTCACTGGCTAGAGGTCCAGTGAGACACATCTCCTTGATGTATGTCTGGTATAGTGCATAAACCTAATCAACTCAACTTTCACCCAAAAGCTCCCAAGTTCAGATTCCATCCTATCTACTTCACAGACTTGGCAACTGAGTAGTATGTATCATCAGTCGATAAATAATACGTGCAGCTTATAGTCTGGTGGTTATTTGGGAAAATGCTTTATCAGATAAGTGAACTCACTACTTTTTAATTGTTATAATATTTTGAATTTATTTTAGAAATCAAATCGGTTATTGATGAAAATAAGATACTATTGTTTCGATAAACTTATCCTTCTTGTACAGACATGATGATAATGATAATAGGCAACGGCAGTTTCCTGATCATTAGACCTACCTCCCCCCCACACACCACACTGTTCTCTGGCAAACTGATATCTACACGATCCGGATGAAGTAGTAATTAAAATGTAATCAGAATGCAAATCATGCAGCGAAGTTGACAGAGTGCTACGAATGAAACCCCGAGGTGGCTATTTTGAATTTTATTTTGCCTTAAAGCTTTTAATTTCTTAATTAAGGTGGACTAGATTATGCATCAGACTGTGGGAAGCGAGGAGAGAGGAGTACGCTGAACCACCGACAATACGAATCTATAAGATCTGGATTTCGCAAATGATTTATGTTTTATGTCACACAAACTCGAAGACTTGGGGGCGAAAATCAACAAACTGGCAAAAGAGGCTGGTAGGCAGCGAAGACAGGACAGATTTCAGGTGAACATAGAGAATACGGAGGTCATGAAGATAACTAACCAACCAACAGCAGCAACAACAAACAGCATCAATCACCATCAACGGGAGAGATTTGACAGAGGTTACCTCCTTCACTTATCTGGCCAGGAAGCACGGTTTCAACCAGACACACGGCACAGATGAAGATGTCAAAGCCAGCCAGCCAGAATCGGAAACTAGTTAGCAAATCTTCTGCACTAACTAATCATAAAAGACAAAGTTGAGATTTTCAGCACAAATGTGAAGTCAGCTAGCCAGTTCTCCTATACGGGTCAGAAACTTGGAGTTCACGTCGCGAAGAGGATCTCCAACAAGCTATTGGAAACTTTTATCAAAAGCTGCCTACTTCGCTGGTTGGTTCCATACACAAGATCAAATGGCCAGACGGCCAGCGAGAAAGAATTAGCAGTAAGAAACTCGGGCAACAAACCAGTCAAGAACCTGTTGCTCAACAAACATGTCAAAGAAAATAAAGATGGATTGGGCATACGCTGAGGAGACAGTCGAATGACATCGCGCGCTTTGCACGCTATCACTCAGGTGGAAGATGAATGGGAAACGACAAGCTGGACGATGATCCGAGGGTGACATGGAGGAGATCGTTTGAAGAGGAGATAAGAGACTATGAGAAATCATGGGGCCATCTGATGAAGAGGACCGCGTAAAATAGGACAAAGTGGAGATGTGTTGTTGAAGCCCTATGTTGCACTCAGAATCGATGGGAACAATAATAATATAAAACAATTAGTTCCCTTTATGAATTTAGATAAAGCAATAAAAAGATGTAATTTGTCTGAATCGTGTAATGCTGTATTTGCGCGCACAACACATTTCGAACAATATAATTACACACGGACTTGTCATAGGAATATATGTGAAATTAATAAAGAGTTAAGAGGTGAGAAAATAGACTCAGGTCAAGTTAAAAGGTTGCCATATTGAAGGTCAAAATAACAATGAAGACCACTAAATCAAATAACAGAGGTAATAGTACATCTAACCTGGTATGTATCGAAACAAAGTTTACCAAAGAAGGTTTAGTGTGACGACGCATTGTTTTTGACCACACACTGGTGGTTTACACTTCCTAATCGCTAGGGCTTCCCCCAATTTTAGGATACGCCCACCCCCGAACACGTTTTATACATAGGTTTAAAAGATGTGTAAATATCAATTTTATGTTCTGTCTCCTCTATAATATGCTTCGCAATAGAGGACGTAGGTCGCATGTTCTCACCATTAATAGGTTCTAGGGTTTCTAATTAGGAATATGCTCTGAAGTCAGCCCTGACTTGCAGAGATCGATGAGTCCTCCCTATGTATGTATGGCCACACGTACATTCAAATCGGTAAATACAGTGAGTGGGATGTGACATCATTTTTCGCATGTTCTAAGGGCTTAGATGGATATATTGGCTTCACATTTTCAATTATCGTAATATTAGCTGCATAAAAAGTCTTTTTAATCGCAGCATTCAATCTTTGTCTAGTTGTCAAGCTTCCATGATGCCTCATATAGGGTAGCTTGATGTACACGTCTTTCTCAGCAGCGAGTTGGAGCAAAATAGAGATGGATTTGATATACGCCGAGGCAACCACCAAATAGTAACATCACACTCCAGGCATATCATTGAGTGGGACCTGAATAAGAGATGACAGGTTGAGTAGTAGGTTAGCGGGCGACATGAAAAACTCATGTGAAGAGGGAATGAAATCTTATGAGCAATCATGAAGCCAGCAGGTTACAAAGATAGCGAAAAGTAGAATGAAATGAAGATGTGCTCCGGAGGTCTTTATTATTTTCATTTGGAGCTATGGGCCAAAGGGTTTAAACATCGCACCTCCTACTACTGTGATGAGATTTATGTAGTCAGATAGTATATGACCGAGCAATAAGTGTGGTTCAAGTGTCAAGTACGTACGCCGATAGCACAGCGGTAGAATACTCGCCAACCACGCATGTGGTCCGGGGTTCCATCCCTGGCCACAGACACACTGCTTTATCTCGCTAAGCCGGTAATGAGACTGGTAAAGACGGAAGATTGGGCATGAGGCTAGCAACCCCATCTCGTAAAAAAATAAACACCACTGTTACCGAAACTTCAAGCCTCTAGCTTGAAGTCGCCCTATGTTCCACTGGGGACGCAAAGGGATAAAAAAAGCGTCTAGTCGGATAACTCAACTGTGCAATTTATATCAAGATAGATAAAGTATGTGAATGATTATTTAAAAAAAAATCAATAAGCAGTGTAACCTACTGAAGCTAAAGCTCTCATCAATGGTTCATTATCTTGCATACGTCCAGCCGTATCCACAAGAACAACATCGAAATGTCGATCACGAGCTATTGGGAGAAGATTTTCAACAACAAAAAAGACGGAAAACACTAACAATCAATAATATGAAGGGGAGAAAAAGGACTTTATATATAGCCAAGAATCAATCATGTAACCGTATTAAAAATTATAAAAAATAAAAAGTTGAAATCAAGGCAGTTACTTTCATTGCACACCGGACAGTTAGTAATTACTAGTAACATGCATCTAATCCTTTGTCTGATGCTAACTGAATTCTATCAGTCACGTTTGTAATGTGGCCATCATTCTAGGTGGCTTGCTATCATGTTACTGACTGACTGGTTTCAACGTGAAACTTTGCACCAATGTGCAGCAGTTAGAGTTGCCACACTCCTTCCATGTAGCACACAAAGCAAGTAAAGAGAGTAAAGAGAGATGGATAAACAGAAATGTCAGTCAAAAAGAATAGAAATACCAAAGAACAATATAATTTTATTGGATATTATAAATCACAAAGAGTGAATGCATCTGCGCCATTGAAAAAAATTTTGGGCCATATATAACCTGATCCTATGTCATTTAACATTCCCCGTCGAGGAAGGCGATGGATGGCTAGGCATGAGTAACAAATGTCCTAAGCATCTTAATCGATGCAGCTGCTTCACAACCTCGTCAATTGATTTTCCCTTCTTGCCTAGCACTTACAGCCTAGCCTCAATGCTACTCACCATCTTGTACCATCTAACAAGGGAGATAGAACACAGACACCTGTGATAAAAGACAGCTAGCTAGCCGGTCTTTTCATATCTTCCACTTTCAATGGCTATGTTTCACATTACACTTTGAATTGTTGATTTTAGGCAGTTGGAGGTGATCGACAGGAAGCCTTGGACCTAGATTCTGTGCTTGTTTGGCAATTACTCGTCAGCAAGGCGTATCTGCAATCTTCAAGGAACTCATATCCCTTCTGAGATTCGAATCATCTGTGTCATTCAGTGTTGCAGTCACGTCACCACTGAGGAGGAGCTATTCGGGTTCACGATTGTATTGGATACTCTGATTGTACACCACCAAGTAATAAGTAACTAGTATCATTTTTCTAATCTTTTGTTTGGTGCAGAATGAATTCTATCAGTCAAGCAGACAATACAGTACAGTTCTCCAGGATGTCATTGTCGAGCCCAAAAATAGCTCCTCCTCATTGGTAACGTCTCTGACTGCAGCACTCACGAGTTCGAATCTCAGAATGGACACAAGTTCTTTTAAGGTTGTAAATACTCCATACAGAAAGAGCTCTACGTTGATTTCCTCTAACCATCATTGAATAACAATCACAAAGCAGTGATATACGCGTACATACATACCATAGTTGATTGCAGAACGTGCAATTGATGCAGCATCACGACCATAACCTTGTTCATATAATTCAACCATAATTTGTCCACCGTGTTGATCTGATGGATGAATAAAATTCAATTTACGTACATGTGTACGTAATTGTTCCACAGCACCAGAACGAAATGTATCACAGGCAGCTATAAGGACACGGAAATTCTTTTCAATAAGCCAAAAAGCAATCTAGAGAAAAACAAAGGAAAAAAAGCAAAAAGCTGAGTGATGTGACAAAAGAGTGTTATAGAAATAACATACGATTTCTGAGGAGAAGAAAATATGAATTTACAAAAGAATGAACTCCGGGCACTTCTTCAAACACATGTTCAATGACAGAATCCTTGAGAATCACACGTGTGGTTTGAGTTTGATTTCTCAACGCATTCTTAAATTCCACCTAGTTTAATACTGATTGGTAATTCCCGAGAAGAGGGCAGGTTTTACGCTAAATCCTTTCAAATATCAGGATGTTAATTTCACTTTCACAAGCAAGTGAGACTTACATGAACCGTTGGTTTGTTCCCATGATTTTCGCATTGCATCGATGACAATGAGGCTGAAGTTAAGTTAAAATGTTAAATACCTTGGATTGTATATTTCATCTTATCTTTCCAGGTCTTCGAGAACATCGCGTTAGTTTATAGTAAGATATTTCGTTTAACTTTTCACATAAGAAAGATAAGATAATCTGGGATAACTCAGTATCTACTTTCACAGTTGTTTATTTTTAAAATAATTTTTGGATGGAGGATTTCATCATGAGTTGACATCAGTTAGAGAACCACTGGAAAACCTGGGAGTACTGAGCAGCTGTTTCTTCAGTCTAGTTTGGGACTCTTCATCAGTACGTACCCAACGGGTCCCAGTGGCTTAAGGGTCTACTAGCTCGTCTTGTAACCAGAAGGTCCTGTGTTCGAACTCTGGAGGTGGGTGTGTACTGATGAAAAGTCCCAAACTAGGACGAAACAACTGTCCAGTACTCCCAGCTTGTTTTCCAGTGGTGCTCTAACTGATGTTGTGGTGAGAGCAAGCTGCTAGCCAATTGGTAGACATTGATCTACGCTGATTGGTGGAAATTAATCTAGGCTGATTCAACAACCGATCACAGCTGACCTAGACGTGGACAAATATGATTCGCAGACAAGTGGCTCGCATTTCCGAGAAATATCGAAAACGAGAAAGCAGAAGACTGAGTTTGTTTGCAAACAACCAATCAGAAGACCGCCTTCTTTCTGCGGGCAGAGCCTTATTAATGTACGTAAAATACATATAAATACCTGTTGGTTTTCGTAATAAAACTGATCTGTTGCCTGGCCCTTGTCTTCTGTTGTTACAATGTCAGCTCATGATGAAATCCTCCATCCAACCAAACTGAATCCCTATAAAACCGAGACTTGTAAAATAATTTTTGTATTCCACCTGTCCTTCTCTATTGCTCCCCATAGCCTAATCTTTCCTCGACGACTTAAGGAAGACTTCGTTACACTGCGAAGAGGACACTAAAAGCTATCAGTACGAGGCCGAGACGGGAGTTGTTAAACCAACTCGTTAAGATTGTTGTAGATAGTGGACACATGGACTCATGCAAGAAATTAGCGAGTAATATCTTGCCAAACCCTGAGCATCCTCTCTATACACAACTCTCCCCATTTCCATCTCATCAGGTAGGAGTATAAGCAACTATAGAAGACTTTAAGCTCAGATGACTAAGTAGAAAAACTCTATAACGCCTTAATTGGCAGGCACACACTTCATGAGATGAGAAAAGGGTGAGGCATGACACCAAAAACTTACTAAGAAGCACTAAGTGAACTGCCCTCTTTTTATCCTTTCTTTATTATTGTATCTCCCGACCAATAGCTGCTACCTTGAAGTGGTGGTTGGGCTTGCACATCGCGATGAACCAACAAGCTACACTGGCTGGAACCAATGTTCCTGCAGGTCCTACCATGCCAGCAAGGTTGTTAGGATAGTGATTAGACTAAAAGCAGTTACCGGTATAGTGTAGGAATCTTTCTTACACTGGGGAACAGGGGTGTAACAGCAGTGAGGTGTTTCCCTCAGATGACCAGCATGCCAGCCAGCTATGCTGTTTTTCCACTCTGCAGAGAGGGGGGGGGTTAGAAAAGGTCGACTCCGAAAATTGTATATCCCGACTTACTCCACCTACGGTGGTCCGTAGCCGGCGGTAAGTCTACTAATATGGAACCAATCCCAGAAGCCAGTTCATACAGGCCGTGTGTGACAGGCCTTAAGCAGTTGTCCCCTGGACTCTGCGGTAACGCAACACTTTCTCTTTCAGGTTCCCGAAGAATCAATCAACTTCCATGGTGTGGACAGCCGGGAAGTAACAACCGCCCACACACTTCCATAGGCACACGAAGCCTTCGTGAGCATCACTCTCCCTTACTCACATCACCTTCCTTTCTTCTCTACTACAGTTAGCACTATTCTTCAGGCTAGTGAGTCATCTTCACTTCACTCTGTGCCCACAAACAAAGGTGAGAGCCATAGAAAAACCCCAGATAGCCTATTAAAGCCACGTCGCCAACTTCATATAGGAGCTTTTAACGTCAGGACCCTCTGCCAAATCGGACAACAGGCATCACTAGCAAGAACTCTGGAATCTAGAGCCATGAATGTATGTTGTGTTTCGGAGACACGCATACAAGACCCGAGTGTGGTCATTAACTTGACCTCACCCGGTCAACAAGGTGGATCTGCAAAATTCACCTTGAGGGTGTCGGGAGACCCCTCAGCTAGCTCACGAGGACTCGCAGGTGTAGGGATAGCACTGAGTGTTAGGGCGGAAAAATCACTTCTTGACTGGATCCCAGTAGATAGTCGTATGTGTGCAGTCTGTCTGAATGGGTCCGTTAAAAGAAGGAAAGACAGCGCTACCCGTCGTTGCCTTTTCGTAGTCTCCGCTTCGCGCCACAACAGAATGCAGTTCGGATGAACTAAAAGGACTTCTGCCTGAAACTGGCTAATTTGCTGCATAAAGCAAAACGTTCAGACATAGTTGTTTTAGCAGGCGACTTCAATGCCCAAGTAGGGAACTCGTGCCAGACTGAGAAGTATGCAGGTGATACGTATGGAGTTCCCTGCCGACGAACCGACAACGGTGATCGTCTTCTCCAGTTTTGCTCAGAAAATCATCTGTTCCTAGCCAGCACTAACTTTAGGCACAAAGAAAGACATTGTGTAAACTGGCGACCTCCATCACCAAATCAACGCTGGACTCAGATAGACCACATAGCCATAGGGTATCGTTGGTGAGGGTCAGTAGAAGACTGTCGATCCTTCTGGAACACGTGCGTAGACTCTAATCACGCTCTGATTCGTGCACGTTTATGCTTACGACTAAATGGACATAAGAAATTGACGGCAACGAAACAGTTACGTCCCCAACTAGATCGTGACACTGAGTCCTTATTTGAGGAAGAAATAGCGAAACTAGTTTCTGAGGTCGACAGCAGGACTTCTCCTGAGGTAGCCTGGCACAACATACAGTTAGCTGTGGACACAGCCGTGAAAGCTGTGAATAAGCTAAAACCTAAAGTTAATAAAAGCCACTGGATCTCTACCGCCTCATCCGAACTGATTGACGCAAGAAGACTGATTCCAACGAGCTCCGATTATGATGAGGAGCGAAAGGTACTTAAACGAAGACTAACAAAAAGTCTTCGCAAGGACCGTGAACAGTGGTGGGCGACTAAAGCGAAAGAGATGGAAAAGGCATCGGCGATTGGCAACACCAGGCAACTATTTAAGCTTATCAGGGAAACAGGCAGCAAAAGGCAAATGATAAGTGAAAGAATCTCGAAGAAAAATGGCACCATAATTAGCTCCCAGGATAGACGACTGGAACGCTGGAAAGAACACTATGAGGAGCAGTTTAATTGGCCTACAGCCACGCACAACCTGCCGAACATCCAACACCTTCCTGAATGAGATACAGACACAGGTCCTCCTTCCTTAACTGAGGTTACTAAAGCTGTCACTAGTCTGAAACAAGGCAAAGCAGCGGGACCTGATGGAATGACTCCAGAGGTATTTAATTACGTGGAGACAGTTTAAAGTCTGTGTTAACTGAGTTTCTAGGCAGCGTCTAGGAATCAGAGGAAGTCCCATCGGGTTGGTGTAAGTCACTGATCATCCCGATATACAAGAAGGGAGACAAGTCTTCCTGTGATTATCACAGAGGGACTAGCTTGACCAATATGGTATTTTAAGTCCTAGGCTCAATAATCATGCTTAGACTAAGCGGTGCTCGGGAGGCACAAACACGAGAGAACCAGGCAAGTTTTAGACCAGGAAGAGGGTGCATTGATTATATCTTCACCCTCCGACAGATTCTAGAACATAGGCATTCCTACTGGTGTCCAACAATCATTATATTTCTTGACCTAAAGGCGGAATTCGATTCTGTCGACCGAGAGGTTCTCTGGCGATGCTTGGCTTTGAAGGGAATGCCGAGAAAATACATTACACTGATTAAGGCACTCTGCTCGTGCTCATGCAGCCAGGTGAGGGCTTATGGCGAATTGTCATCTGAAGTGGTGACGACTAGTGGCGTCCGTCAAGGATGCCCATTATCCCTATTCTTATTCAACTTCATCATAGATGTACTAATGGACTTAACCCTAACTCACTTCAGAGACTCGGGGATGGACTTGCTACCAGGGAATAATCTCGTTGACTTAGAATATGCAGACGATATAGTCCTTCTAGGCGAGAACGCTGAAAAAATGCAGAGCCTTCTGAACACATTGAGCTGCAATCTACCAATGTTTGACATGCGATTCGCTCCCGCCAAATGCAAGGTGATGTTATAGGATTGGACTACACCGACTCCTAGATTAGAAATAGGGAGTGAAGTGGTAGAGCATGTTGACCGCCTCACTTAATTGGGATGTACCATCAGCCCTAACGGGTTGATCTCTGACGAAATCTCAGCAGGGATACAGAGGGCTAGTTTCGCATATGCCAGTTTACGCCGTCTCTGGCGTAGACGTGATATCCGACCATCGACCAAAGGGCGTGTGTACCGCTCCGTCCTCCTTAATGGAGGTGAGACCTGGCCATTGAGAGTGGAAAACATGAAAAGACCGGATAGTTGTCTTTGATCATAATTGTCTGCGTTCTATCTCCCGCGTGAAGTGGTGTAATAAGGTGAGCAATATTGAGGTTAGGTGTCAAGTGCTAGGTAAGGAGGGGAAATCAATAGACGAGGCTGTGAATTTATATCGATTGAGATGGTTAGGACATGTGTTAAGTATGCTTAGTCTAGCCATCGCCATCCTCGAGATGGTAAGAACCAATGGAAGCTGGAGACAATTGGTGATACGGCTCAATATCGTTGTCAGTGATGGAGCAGATGCATTCACTTTTTGTGATCTGCCATATCCAATAAAACTCCATTGTTTTTTCCATGTTGCTATTTTTTCTCCCTCACATTTATGTTTGTTATCGTTCTTTCGAATCTTTTTTCCCCATCTGCCCTCCCTTCAAGATTAGAATCACCGCTAATGACTGTCAACATTAGACTCCTTACTATTGATATATTCAGATCATGCTTGCGTAACTCAATTGAGCATGAAATCTAGTTGCCAAATGGTAAGGACCGTAATCCGACATTCATATACACTGAATTGCATAATAGTGATGTCTCAGCTAATAACGTCTGCCGTCCAATAGTAGAATGGTCGCCAAACACATTCGTCGGCCCAGGTTTCACTCCCGGCCAACGGGTACTCCTACACGTCGCTGCCTAGTTTACCAGCCGATAGTAAGCCTGGAAAAAAGGTGCGGTTGGACGTGAGACTAGCAACCGCATCCTGTGAAAAAGAAACAACGCTAATACTCACTAGTGAAACTTTAAACTTTGAAGCTCCATATTCCACTCAAAACACGAAGGAAAGACAGAAAAGTTAGCTAATAACTAATTATACTGAAAACTTAATCAATAAAATTCCATTAACACCAAAGGTTAAATCGCTATGCTAATTAACATTATTACAATGAATAACTCATTCTCAAAATAACCGATCAATGAAAAAAGTATCGATTAATGGAAAACATACAGTAGAAACATACTTTTGCCAAGTTTGTAGACTTTCCAACACCATTAACTCCACAGAAAACAATACTGTATGGTCTTCCTTGATTACGTGCCTCCAATGCATCACGAAGAACATCAACACGACGACCAGATACTAGAATACGCGAGCAAACTTCTTCTAGACTCGCTCGAACACGTGGATAAATTCTTTCAAATGTTCCAAGTGATGTACCAACAAGACGATCGGCGACACTAGAACAAACACGATCAGCAATTGACATAGCCACATTTTTACCAACAAGACGTTCTCTAAGTTGTTCTAAACACGGTGCAATATCTTCACGAGTTAGGACACGTCCAGCACCCCCAGTAATACGTAGACCACGCAATATACCAGAAAGGTAGCCAGTCTGTGTTTTAAGAAAACACCAAACAGATACGATTTTATGAGTTTACTTTAACTTAAAATCTGATATAGAAAAAGCAACGCATTCAGATATTTACCAGTTTGACTGTTCCTGTGGAGCTAGTTATATTGGATGTGCAATTAGGCATGTTCATTATCCGATTTCCGAATACCATCCTGCATAGGTAAACAAGGTCTTAATTGGTAGATGGTAACTAGTAGTGGAATCCAGGACACCGCGCATTTAGTCCTGTTTGGGACTTGTCATTTGGATGTACCTGCGTTTCGCAGTGATTGGTGATGTTCCCAACGAGGCTCGAACCCAGTGCCCATAGTTTCAAATGACAAACCGTTATCCACTAGACCCCTTAGGCCACGAAAGCTAGCCACCTCTTGTGCAACGGAGCATACTAATTATTTAATTGAATTTTAGATTTTCCCGTCGACTGACTGGCCTAGACATCGTTGAAGCGTCTACACAAGAAGCCATGTCAACCTGAGACCGAGCACTTCGGTTCAATCAATCGACGGGAAAATCTAAAATTCAATTAAATAAACAAGGTCATTTCGCACACCATGAAGATAGTTAATATGAATAAAGTATTTAAAGTTATTTATTACATTCTGACCCATAATAACTTTGCTTTACAAGTTCATCCCATACATTACAGTTGAAGCCATCGGAATTCTTCTTAATAAGCTAAATCTGTGTGTTCAGTGGAAATTCGTGCAGTTACTTGCTGTACTTTGGCCACTGTTAAACAATCTGATAAACAGTATAACAAGTTTTGATAACGGATCGATATCAGTTAGAGAACTATTGAAAACCAACACGGAGTACTACCAGTCAGCTGTTCGGTCCTAGTTTGGGAGTCATCAGCAGTAGGCATCCACCGACAGGGTTCGAACCCAGGAACTTCCGGTTACAAGTCAAGTCCGTAGACCATTCGACCAGTGGGACGCGACTCAATGACCAACCTAAGAGTTCTAATTTCAAGCAATCCGTGATTTTAGTGCGACCACCACCCACTGTCACCGGTGGCGGGTAGTTGTCCTCACTCCCGACCCGGTGGACCTTACTGGTCGCCGGTCACGACTTATCACTAGAACTCCAGTCAACTTCGTCATGAAGCCAATGTCACTAGAGACGATCAGATTAATTTTCAAGAGTTAGGTTATAGGGATTTGATTTGTTACAAGTTTTGATCACGGACTGATATCAGATAGAGAATAATCTGTCTGATGTCTGCCTAGCTTTAGTCACTAACAGTAGTTGTAAAGCAAGAAGTAGAAGGAAGCTGTATGAGACTCTCAGTGCTAATAACAAAGTTAGTAGAGGCAAAACAATAATTAAGGCTTACAAGAGGTGTGTTGGCAGTCAGATAGATAATATTTTTTAGCTATGCACACCATAACATTTGATGTTTTCCTAATATCTCGAAATTGAAATGGTTTTTATGACTTAGTCATGGTCGAATTAACATCCTTTCGAAACGCATCACAGTTTCAGAGGATAGAATTACTCGGAAAACATCGTCAGTTGTGTTAAGTTGTAGGGGGCAAGGGGAAATGTGGCCTTTAAATCCGCCTTGATCAAATTCCCTTTTCAAAAAGCTGAAGCGTAGCACGAAGATGGTGATCCTCAGAAGAAAAAAACAACGGTATAGTGTAGCAACGAATACACTAAGACAGAAACACTTTTCTCACCAAAACAAGTGTAACACTATCCAAAAAAATCCTCAAAAGTATCATAGCTTTCGAATTAATAAGTTTTAATAGAGTATACTCACTTCACCGATGACGTATGTCTGATTTCTCACAAACTGGAAGATATGCAAGTGAAAAGAAACAAGTTTGCAGAGGAAGCATCCAGAGAAGACAGAACTTCAGATGAACATAGAGAAAACAGAGATGATGAAGATTCCTGGCCAACACCAACACCACCAACAGAAACAACAACAACAACAGACAACAATCAGCACAAATGGGAGGAACCTGGAAAAGAAAACCTCCTTTACCTACCTGGGAAGCATCGTTTCAACTACAGGCGGCCGGAACTGACGAGGATATCAAAGCAAGAATCGGAAAAGCAAGACAAGCTTTCACTACTCTCAAGTCTGTGTGCAGGAGGTCAACAGCCCTACTCAGCATGAAAACGAAGATAAGATCCGGATTTTCAACTCCAATGTGAAGTCAGTCAGTGCTACTATGCGGATCAGAGACTTGGCACGTTATAAAGAGCACCTCAAACAAACTACAGACCTTCACCAACAGCTGTCTTCGCTCAATACTACTCAAGATCAGATGACCAGGAAAGATCAGCAACAGGGATCTCTGGGGGGAGCAAACCAACCAGGAACCGATTGTGCAACAAATAAGCAGGAAGAAATCGAGGTGAATTGGCCATAATCTGAGGAAACCACCTAGTGACATTACTAGACAAGCCATCGTTCGAGTGGAACCCAAAAGGGAAGCGGCGAGTTGGTCATCAGTGCGAGAGTGACATGGAGGAGGTTATGTGAAGAGGAGATGAAAGCATGTGGGCAGACCTGGAGCCAGGCCAAGACTTTAGCAGAGAACCAAACGCAATGGAAACGTGCAGCTGAAGCCCTATGTTCCTCTAGGAATTAAAGGAAATAATAGTAATGATAGAGTATACCCATTCAATTTGATTCATAAAGCTAACAAACCTTTGCTTGACCATTTTGAGTAGGCGAATCTTTTTGAGGTTCATTACCAGTAACAGTAGTACCATTCTGAGCTGTTGTTGTAGTGTCATTTTCTTCAATTTCTAAAACTTCTAAATCTTCATCCTCATCTGAAGATACATGAACTTCGTCTAAATCATCTTTCATAGTACCACGAAGACGAGATAGTGTTTCTATTTCTGTAGTTGAAAAATCATATTCAGCTTTTTCTTTTCCATTCATATTTCCACTACTGAAATCTAAGGCTGCTGCTTCTTCTCCAGTTGCAGTATTATCCCATCGACGACTCTCTTTGACACGTTTACCATTAGGCTTTTGTATGGGGGATGCTGATGGACTAAAAGGCATAGAAAAGAGAGAATACGATGAAATCAAAACAAGTGATTCAGCGAAAAGACTCTTTTTTCCAACAACGAATTAATTATCAAGAAGGTCAATCATTGAGCATCGGGTCGATACTGGTCACCTTATCTCTCTGCAGCCTCTTCCTTTAAAGTTGTCTGCAAGGTGAAAAATAATTTGCTAAAATCATTATGTATCCTATGCGTCTGCATTGCTGAAGCCATCTTTGGCCATCGAAATGTAAAAGTCAAATCTTTGCACGCAGCAAAAGTTTGTTCAACCCATCCAACTCTCATGGTCTTAATTCGTCTATGTGCTAAAGTATTATAATCCCCAGTCATTTTTTAAAATTCTTTTACGTTCTCAGTGGAACATAGAGCACCTTCAAGCTAGAGGCTTGAAGTTTCGGTAACAGTGGTGTTTATTTTTACGGGATAGGGTTGCTAGTCTCATGCCCAACCTTCCGTCTTCACCATTCTTATTACTGGCTTAGGGAGGTAAAGGAGTGCGTCAGTCTGTCGGGGAACGAACCCCTGACCACATGGGGCGTGGTTGGCGAGCATTCTACCACTGTGCCACCGACGCACAGTATGCAATGCTAAAGTATGGAAATCTCCAATCATGCTTCGACTCTATTTATTTTTTGTTTTGTTTATTCAATTTGCATATCCTTCCCTCGTTATGTTATTACTACTATTAATATTATTCTCACTTTGAACTGTTTCCGACATTATTTCACTTATCCCGCCTGTCACTCTAAATCTTTTTTCTGCTATGTGAAATTCTATGCCATCAAATTTCACATCACACTGCGTTACGTTTTTATTTACCTAATAATCCTATAATTTTACACGCCCTTCCAAAATCTGTACGTCTTATGAACTGTTATACATATGACAATATTTTTGTTTTACCGCTTGACAACTGATATCTAACTATGATTATGATCACAAATATTTTAATTGCATCTCATACTACTATTACTGTTATTTTATGTATTCACACCTTTGTTTTAATTTCCTCATGGGATATAATTTCTAAAAAAAACCATGTATATACAATTGTGCAGCTTGATAATAAATTCCTTGAAAAGAGTTTCTTTGTTGAATCACTTGTTTTGGTTTTCTACATGTTCAAATGGGAGTTTTCCATGAATAAAATAAGCATTTTTGTGGGACCACTTATATCCAACCATTTGCATCATGATGAAGGGCACGGATAAAATGCGACTCAATTTCCACCAACCACGCCAGCGTTAGATTCAGCTTTAAACAAGAAGATATCACATGTTGCAAATTGGAATCTAATAGATAAAAGTCATTCAAAGAAAGCGGTGTTTCTCAATTCATGGAGTTAGGGAGAGACAACCTGTTAGACTAACATGACCTAACCGATAGCTCGATATGGTGGTGGATCATGCATATCGCATCGACCTACACTGAACATACATTGCCAGAAAAGTCTTTTGGATAGAGGTTAGACTCCAAGGAATTACCGTTATAGTGTGAGGTTTTTACAATATATTCACAGTGCGGGCGAAGTCACTTTTGGGGAATAGGGGTGTACCAGCAGTAATGTGTTTCCCTCAGATGACCAGCAAGCTATGCTACCTCTCTGCTCTGGTGAGAGGGAAGGGGTTAGGAAACGTCGACCCTGAGAATTTTACATTCCGATTTACCATGCGGTGATCCGTAAGCAGAAGTAAGACCTCAATACGAACACAATTCTAAAAACCACTTTAAATAAGCCGTGTGTAACCGGTCTTAAGCAGTTGTCCCCTGGGCTCTGTGGCCAGACAACGCCAACCCTCTGTTTCAGGTGTCCCAGGAAAAACAATCAGCTTCCGTGCTGCCGACAGTCAGGAAGTAAAAACCGCCCACGCACACTTCAAGAAGAGGACACATTCCCGCTGGTTATCACCCATCTTTATCTATGCCATTTTCGCCATCTCGCTTTTCTTTTATTCCACAGGCGGGTACCTCATCCTGTCTTCTACGACCACCTATTGACAACGACAACAGCCGCAAAAACACTACTGATAGTCTCTTAAAAACACGCAGCAACTTGAACTGCTACACTTTTATGCAAATTTGTGGGATTAAAATCAATCAAACTAACATAAATTTCGGTCAAGAAACATAAGACTTTTGTAAAGCTACATGCTATTTGACAAACTTAACTACAAAATAGTACATAATCATATGTAACCATTTTACATGAAATAATTAAAACGCTTTTTCATCTTTTTTTATCAACAGTGACATTGCCAAAAGATAAGAAAAACGACAACTTTAAGTGTTGAAAATGAGCTAGGAAAACGCATTCAACGTCGCATGACTCATTTTTAATATCTACTAGACTATAATGAAAGGAGTAGAAGCAAAACACTTCGCAGATTCTAAATTGACGACAAAAGCCAATGGAGCCCATGTGCAACAGTAAACATTGACTAGAAAAATTAACAAATGGTATTCACATAGATCAAAACATCCTTAAAAATGTCAAAAAGCTGCATCGAGATTAACCATACAGTCATCAAAGGATGCACCAAAATAAACTAAACATTGGTTTAATTACAGTTTCACTGGACGCATAGAAACCATTGTCTCCTGATGAGAATACAGTTGCTACATCGTAACAAGAAGGTCGACTGATATCAAAGCTGATCAAGTAGTATGGTAACACTTTATTTTTGATTCCAGCTTCATTCCACACAGTATTTTTTGGTACAGGTATGGAATTTTCAGCATGTGATATCGGTAGCCCAAATTTTGCAGACCGACCATAGATATCAGGTGTGCGTCGGTAGGGGATCGAACCCCGGACCATGTACATGGTCGGTGAGAGTCCTAACCTCTGTGCCACCGAAGCCCAGTCCAAACCAAATATAAAATAAAAGGAGACACTTGTGAATCATGTAACAGGGAAACAATATGAACACTTTAAACTAAGACAAAATCGCAAAAATTACGTTGCACGTAATTTAGTTGCTTTGGAACTAATATCTAAGAGCAGTATTAGGTAAAATAGCTGGCGGTTCACATTTCTCTAGACTGTTTTAGCTCAATCGATATAATGTGGTGCACAAAAAGCACAATATGAAGGAATGTATGTGCAAGACATGCGGTATCTTAAAAATTGTACCTGTAAAAAGCGCATATATAAACGGTTTTCGGGCTCTTACGGACCCATACCCTTAACTCACGATAAACACTACTTATAGACATATTTTAAATTCATAAACATATTGGGATGAAATCACTTTGGGGTGAGTTTTACGAGGCGTCTAAGTTTTTGCTCACCGATTCCTCAGCTGAATTCCCAATTACTAGCCAAAAGTTAAGTTTCAACAGCCTGAACTAGAGTAAAATGGGGGGGGGTACTTAAAAGAGGATACAATACCCAAGAACAATAAAAAAATATAATAATCACTTGTGTGAGATCATGAAACCTACCTTTTTGACTCCTTACTTTTCTTTGAAGCCTTCAGTTTAGCGGCCAGTTTAAGTCTGTTTTGTTCCAAAGTATCGAGATTATCTGTTACTGGCTCTAGAAACTAAGTCAGAGTCTGAAATGCACAATACCATCGGACTTGGGTTCAGAGTTAACTGTCTTTTCCTTCGTAACAACTGGGACGTCTTTGGTGTCACTTTCAACATTCTTGCCTTTTCGTACAATCATAGAAGCAACTGTCTTTTTTGACTTATCGGAATCCTCGAATTTCCGCATCTGTCTGAAGAGGAATTAGGATTAAACTAGAACTTACTTGGCACTTTTACGAACATTGCGAAACTCATCTTCAGTCTTCCTAAGGGTAGCCTGATAAACAGGCAGAAACTCCTCAAACGAACCAGTGATATCGTGACTTTCGAGTCGATTCTTGTACCTATCTCTAAATTCCAGAGCGATATCTGTTAAAAATTTGTCTACATAATTAAGTTGAAGGACATTTTGGTAAGCAGCCTAAGAGATTCATAAATTTTACTTATACTTACAACAAACAATAGATTAAATTCATTGTCCATGTAGAATTTCATGGCTCTTGAGTCACAGACAAAAGGTGAGCGACCAGCATTTTCCTTTAAAAAGTTTTAAAAATACTGCGTGAACAAACTTCGAGAATAAGTGATTTTAAGAATGTATTTATGGATAGTCTGAATATATCCGTCGATCCAGGGAAGCACCACAAACGGATTCCACCTTTTGTAATAATTACGAAGAAATCCAACATTTCTACAGCCGAAGCGATACGTTTAAAAACGTGGCAACGTGTCGTGTATTCAAACAAAACACTTCCTGAAGTTATAGTTTATTTGTGAAAGGAATGTGTGACTAAGACATATGTGAATACCTAAAGATTTTTCGAATAATGAAGGCGGAATACATAGATTTACTTCTAAGAAATTCTAACTTCGACTGGTTAAAACAATCCCCTGAATGATCCCTATAGTTTGTGTCTGTTTTTTTCCATATATATACAGCATGTATGTTTTACAATCAATTTTGACGTAGGACAAATGTTAACTACAGTATTTATAACTGTTTTAGTGAACTTGAAGAGCAAATAATCCATCAATAGGATTCGCACTGGGTGTCGTCAGATTCGCAGTAGATATGTGGACTTCTTTTGAAAGTATCAGTTAACTCGTTCATCACCACTTTCGTTCAAAACTTCCATCTGTGTGGGGGGATTTTTAAGTGTGTTGACATTTCACTGCTCAGTTTCACTAGTAGTTGGATGGAGATTACTCATCAGTTACGGAAAGCCTATATAGAATTGCTCTCCTGATGCAAGAAAAGTAAAATTTTGCAGTTTTATATTCTGAAGAATTGGGGAAAGTCTCATTGCTTTTCACGCTGCATAGCGATTCCCTGCTTTTTGATGTGATGCTACAGGAATTGAGTTATTACATGCAGTGGCTCACTCAGTAGTTTATTATGTGCCTCCAGTACTTCACTCAATCGTTTAGGCAAACTGCGTATTCCGTTGCGGGTTACACTGGACAATAAAAAGTAATTTATGTATTGGTTTGTAGGGAATTGGTTGATTGGCTACAGGGTTTCATCATGAGCTGTTATTGGTTAGAGAACCATTGGAAAAACTTGGGAGTACTGGACAGCTGTTTCGTCCTAGTTTGGGACTCTTCAGGAGTACGCGCCCACCGGGGTTCGAACCCAGGACATTCTGGTTACAAGGCTAGCGAGCTCTCAGACCATTAAACGGCTTGGACCCGATCCAATGGCCCATGAATTCTAACTTCTGCCAATTCACGATTTAGCGCAAACACTAGATAATGTCTTCGGCGAGTATTTGTCCTCACACCCGACCTGCTGCATCCTACTGGTTACGACATCCCACTGGAACCCCAGGTAACTACCTACCTGTATAGGACCAGTCGCCAGTGGGCATCCCATTGATATTCAAGTATTGGTTTCTAGGGATTCGGTTGGCTGGTTACAGGATATCATCATGGTTGCTTGTACAATAATTGGACAATTCAAACTTTTGAAAAAGTATTAATTTATAATACTCCATGATTGTAATTTATAGCATAACTGATCACGCCTGTAAAAATGGCATGGATTTCCTGCAGACACCCGTTAACACCAAAATTTTTCCCTTAGTGTAACTGGCGAATCATATATAGGAGGGAAGACCTGGTGGTGTGTCCTTATTTCTGAAAAGCGTAATTGTGGTGATTTTGAAGTAATAACGTTTCGGCTGAAGATTGCAGTGAGAATAGCATTCAGTAGAGCAGGAGCACACTATGCATACACAACCACTTTCTGTATGTTGAAGCGCTCCAGGAATTGTTGCCGGCTAGAACAACGTTGAGTCCTCCTTCACAGAGGAGAGGATAGGGTTGCGTGAGAACAAAGAGCAATTTCCAAGTGCATCTATTTCGCGAGTAACCATATCTCTGGCCTAATTGGCAGGATATTCAAAATTATACAGAAACAAATATTTGTTGTTGCCAGGAAGCTGCGAAATTTTTTGCTGCTTGTGATACTGTTTATAATGTCAAAAGCTTCATCAGGGTTGTATTTTTGTTCTCCGCAAAGTGAGTAGGTCCGAAATTTAGGAACAGTGCCATTAAACGAAAACGCAGGTGTCAAGGTCTTCCTGATTTTCAAAAATCACCACGGGAAAGACGTCAAGGTGGGCTCTTATGTGAAAGTATTTGTGATAAAGAGTTACCCATGAGTACTTAGATTCAGCCTCATACACAACACAGATGAACAACAGGCAGACACAACCAAAGATAGCCCCATGAACAGCCTGAAGACATCTCTCTCGAAAGGAAGATGTGGCTACTATAAAATACACACTGCCTTTGAAAGACAGGTAAACACTCTCACCTCATAGCAAGAAAGCTGTCCAAGGTTGAGGAAGAGTGCTGTAAGTTATCGCACATGTGCTTCGTGACACGCAGTACTAGTGCTAGTGAAATGGTAGATTGAAACAGTTCATCACACTGTGAAACAGTATTATTTACTGGGTGACGTTTCGAACACAATTTGTTTTCCATAATCATATCAATTATGATCACACGACTTCGAAACTTTAGTTTTATGGTTATGAACAATAAGTTGTGTTCAAAATGTCATCCAGTAAAAATAATACTGTTTCACAGTGTGATTTATCAAATACACACACTAATATGGAACTACTTACTACCACCTTGACCAAGTTTTACACACATATTAACGAAACGGCTTGTATTCAGAGGATCTTACTGAGGGTGGCGTTGTAGGGCTTGTCCAGTCAGCTGTTGGGGCTCCGAAGTTGCCAACAGCAAGCCACTGACACTTTTGATGTTGTGGTTCTTCGGTTTGAAAGTCCTCTGAGTAGCAGTCGGAAATGTGATAAGTTGCGATGAGGTCAATATATGGTCCCATGGACTTTAGTATGCAGCATACTGTTTCATGGTGTGATAAACTGTTTCAATCTACCATTTCACTAGCACTAGTACTACGTGTCACGAAGCACATGTGCGATAACTTACAGCACTCTTCCTCAACCTTGGGCTTGATTATCCTTCGTGGTGAGGATGTGGACCTTGTGAAATATCCTCTATCTCTAGGTAAAAGTGACCACACCTTGCTCACTTTCAAGTTCACAGCAGCAGTATCATTGGCCCAGCCACAGTTGTAGAGTTACCTACTATAAAATCCTTCAGATTTTTAGTTCACAATGACTTTGAGAAGGTGTACCGACTGGCTAGCTGCACAGGCAACCTCTTGACCAATTCTTTACAAGCTGTGGATAGACGCACTAGCTACTTCTGTTGGCAGTAGCATATCTAAGATTGGTTAAACTAGGTTTATCTCATGTTCAAACCTGCCCTTGGGATCACAAGCCACTGATACTTCCAAAATGTGAAGAATGCGCGACATATCGGAGAGATGAATTTGCCAGGGGTGGCTTTCTTCGACCGGGTTGACAGCACATGAAACCATTTAGCTGGGCAGCCTGCACATATTCGAGATCGGTTCCTGTTGGCTTCAACCAGAAATAACGTTCATGATTGTTGTGTGGCTATCACTTCTGCGCGACCCGAGCTCTAGACACAATACCTGCTGACCCTAGCCTTGCCCACCGAATCTGGTGGGGCTACTCTTAACACCTCCCCCAACTAGCCAGGGGAGAATATAGCGCTTAGGACTACTGAAAGATGTGTTTGCTGACGATAATTTGAGAGTGTACAAGTAGACAATCATACCAAAACGAAGCTGCCTAGCTCATGTCCCTTGAAAATTCTCTCAACCTCCATGTGTTTCGGTCCGCATAGATAAACGAATTGTTCGTTAGTGGTGAAACGTGTGAGGTTCATTTGACTTGACGAACTTGTTTTCCCCCTAGAACAGTGTCTGCTCTTTCCTACACTTCAGTGTCTACCTTATAACGGCCACCTTTTCCATTTTTAGATAGGATGTCAGTCCATCCATTGATATCCCCTTGGCATATGTCTTTGGGTGTGGCTGACTACTGTTCATTCGTGTCGTGGATGAGACTTCATCAGAAGTTCATGTGCAACTTTGCCAACCAGTTTTGCTGTCAGAATGTTTGCTTAAATTACCGACCGACGGCTCGTAATATCGTGGAAGACTGACGGTGTTTATGAATCTACATTTTCGAAAACGCGGCAGAGGGCAAGTGAAGCGGGCAGAAGCTAATCGGAGAAACAGAAGGCCATTCATCACCCAACAGATAAAGTAAGCCTTACAAATTATAAAGAAGATATATTCCCCACGTTGCAATTCATCCTATCCTTCCGAACTCTTCAATTACTTACCACATCTGGGTGGCCATAGCATACAGTTTTTCAGAGGCCTTGCCGCAGTCTCTCCCTAGAGGCGACTCCCCTAAGAATGTTGGTTGAACTGGTCTGTCTTTCGGTTCTAAGTATAGAGTTTTCCGTCCAGTGGCTTCGGGGGCAATGACACCAGCTGACGAATCTTCCCACTATAGTGATGTCAAATATACGTAATACATCTACATGGAACAGGTCAGTGTTGTTCATTCATGGACTTATTTTACTGCTAACCCAATGAAACTGCCATAAAGGCGACTATCGGTTGATCCTTAGTTTTAGCACCCTTTGCGGCTACCCAACTGTCAATAACCGTGAACTATTTTTCCGCTGAAAATTTGTTCATCCAAAGCTGGTTAGCAGAGCTTTCTCAGTCCTGTATCTTCAGCATGAGCCCACTGTTTTATGAGACTCTGTTATCTGAACTTGCTTCAAGTTCTCTCCAGGTTATAGTTCATACACGGATGAGTGATGAATTCGGCAATACTTGCTTCTAACCGTCAAAACGGGTGCTTTACGCCATGAACGTTTTTATTTTATGTTCCATCTATCTCTCGTTCGTTATGCCGGAGCCATGGTAGCCTTTATCACCAAGGCTAACAACTTTATTCACTCCGTTGGACTGTCTATAGGTTCTGTCTAGAATAATGGCTAATGCACTCACTCTAGCTTAGAAGTTTAGCTTGCCACACGGAGACGGGAACTATGTGGAGACTTCAGGTTAAGTGTAGCTATCTTGGGAGGGAAACTATTTGAGGAAATGCCGCGAGCAGGCTACTCAACACCACGTCGGTGAGGTAGGCTCTGAATGGCCAACAGGAGTTTGCTCATTATGGATAAAATTTCATTTCGATAAATCGCACAGTGTTATATAGTAATATTAACTGATGACGTTTCGCTCACAAACTATTGCTCATAATCATATACTAACGTGGTACGTCCAACGTTTGCGCTACATTTTTG